AGAGAGAGAAAGAAAGAGAGAGAGGGAGAGAGATAGAGAGAGAAGAGCCAGGCACTAGTAATCCCCGCTACTCAGGAGGCTGAGAGCTGAGGATTTCCTTTTAAAGCCAGCTGGGACTAGAAAGCCCATGAAACCCTTATCTCCAATCATCTAACTCAGATAAAGCCAGTAGTGGCGCTGTGGCTCCAGTAGTAGAGCGCTAGCTTGGAACGAAAGAAGCTCAGGGACAGCACCCAAGCCCTGAGTTCAAGTCCAGGGACTGGCAAAAGAGGAAGAAATTTTTTTTTGGGGGGGGGGGGTCCGGTCGTGGGGCCTGAACTCTAGGCCTGGGCGCTGTCCCTCAGCTCTTCAGCTCAAGGCTAGGGCTCCACCACTTGAGCCACAGCGCCACTTCCGGCGTTTTTTGTTTTTGCTTATGTGGTGCTGGGGAATCGAACCCAGGGCCTCATGCATGCAAGGCAAGCGCTCTACCACTGAGCCACCTTCCCAGCCCCAAGAGGAAGAAATTATATTATGTCTCTGTGGTGCTATCCAGCTAAGAAACACTATTTCCAGATGCTAGATTGACTATATAATAAAATATAAATCGGGGTAACATGGTTACTTCCTCTGAAAGGACCCTCAGGATCAAGGTTAATGTCTTCGTCCCTCAGTTTCCTCTACAATGGTAAAGTTTATATGTAGTCTCATAGTATAAACAGAATACTAGATCCAAGTTTTTTCCTCTTTTTTCTTTCCTTTTCTTCTCTTGGACATTGAACCTATGCTATGGCCTTTCACAAGTAACAGATCCATTTCCCCAATCACTGGATTGTGTTTTTTCTCCCCCAAATATGTCCAGTGTTAGACTTGAGAGTCTCATGAGAAAATGAGGAACCAGAACAATAGTGCAATGGTTCTTACACTGTAATATCTTCTAGGTCATTCTGCATGTAATTAAGACTTGGAAGTTTAAGCCATTTGCTTAAACTGTAATCACACCTGTAATCCTAATTAGTTACTCAGGAGGCTGAGATCTGAGTATCTGAGTTTGAAGTCAGCTCTGACTGAAGTCAGAGTCTTTAGCTAGCAAAAAGCTGGAAAAGCAGCTGTGGCAAAAAGCCTGATCTCAAGTCCCAGAACCACCAAGAAGGAAAAAAACAAAAATTTAGGCCTTTGATTGCTCTCAGTAGATTCTAGCGATCTGCCAGTATCCCCCCTGCCACTTTCGTGGATCGTGGTGCTTGAACTGGATGCGGTCCCTGAGCTCTTTTTGCTCAAGGCTAATGCTCTACCACTTTGAGCCACAGCACCATGTCTAGTCTTTTGGTGGTTAATTGGAGATAAGAGTCTCACAGGGACTTTTCTACCTGGGCTGGCTTTGAATCATGACCCTCAGATCTCAGCCTCCTGAGTTGCTAGGATTACCGGGGGGAGCCACCAGTACCTGGCCTCTTTTCCTTTTTTTCCTTTTCACTTGATTGGTCAGTTTCTGGAAAACAGAAACAAAAGCAGGGTATGAAAGTAAAGCTGTGATTTCCTTCTTAATTAATTGGATTCATTTACACACAGCTACATCTTCAACCATAGAACTTCAGGTTTTTTCCTTTTTTTTTTCTTTTTTTTTGGGGTCCGGTCATGGGGCTGAACTCTGGGTCTGGGCGCTGTCCCTCAGCTCTTCAGCTCATGGCTAGCACTCTACCACTTGAGCCACAGCGCTACTTCTGGCTTTTTTTTCTGCTTATGTGGTGCTGAGGAATCGAACCCAGGACCTCATGCATGCAAGGCAAGCGCTCTACCACAGCCACCTTCCCAGCCCTGTTTTTTTTTTTTTTCTATGTGAAGCAATTTGTACCACATTATTGTCAATTCATTTATCTTTTATGGACTTTTTGCTACATAGTTACAAGTAATTTCACATCAAAGACATTCTGTTTATTTTATAGAGGCCTGATAAATGGTTGTACAGTAACTATTACCTTGGGATTTTCCTTTTTTTGCTAGTACTGGGGCTAGAACTCATGGCTAGGGCACTGTAGTCCCTGAGCTTTTTTTGTTCAAGGATAGCACTCTACCACTTGACCCACAGCACCACTGTTGGCTTTTTCTGTTTATCTAGTACTGAGGAATTGAACCCAGGACTTCATGCATACTAGGCAAGTACTCTACCACTAAGCCACATTCCCAGATCTACTCTTTTGTTCTGTGTGTGTGCTCCCTATCTTTATTTTTATATGTGATGATCACAGAATGCATGTTTCTCATTGTTAATGGGCAGTTATTATGGTCGCCTTTAAGGTTCTTTGTAACTAGATAGAAAGACAACCAAGATACAATTCTGGCCATACCCTTATTAAAGACCACAGGCCTTGATATTTTTAAGTAACTGCTATTGACCAGTAGATGGCGCTCCTTCCTTGGAGTGAATGACTTATGAATGAAGAAATTCTCCCTACACTTCTCCCCATTCTCTCCAGTATGATAGTAATGAATACTAATTATTCCTACTTCTTGCCAAGATACTTCGAATTCATCTTTTATTCATTCTCCATCTAGTCCAGACCCTCCCCATAGATCTCTGATAACAGTATAATGACCTCCTGCCTCTGGTATCTTGTACTTTTTCCATACACTGCCATCAGACTCATTTTCCATAAACACAGCTTGTCTATATTGGGCCTGGCTGGAGGAGAGGGCTTCTGTGGCGGAATGAGGCAAAGAGTGATGGCTGGTTTGTCTCATTTGGCTGGAGTAGGGCTGGGGAGGGGAAACGGATTGATGATGAAGTAGAGTCAGAGCCCAGGAAGAGGGGTAGAGAGAAAGAGAGGGGAGGGGAGAGGGGGAGAGAAAGAGAGAGAGAGAGAGGACAATCAGGTACTCAGATCAAAGCCACTCCACTGATGTCCAAGTAAGAAGTAAAGAGGTAATCCTAGTTACTCAGGAGGCTGAGCTCAGGAGGATCACAGTTGTCTAGACTCCAAAATAACCAGCAAGAAACAGGACTGGAGGTGTGGTTCAAGTCGGAGGGCACCAGCTGAGCAAGCAAGCTGCACAAGTGTGAGGCCTTGAGTTCAAAAAGTAGGAAAGAAATAAAAAAAGGAAAACAGCTTGAGCTCTTTTTGTATCACAGACTTTCAATGTGTTATTCTTCCTCACTACACTGTCGGATTTAGATTCTTCCACCTCGAGGAATTTGGTTTAGTTTTAATTAGTTGCTGCGAATATTTCCGAGCCAACTCTGGGAAGCATTTATCTAGAAAATAGTTTTCACTAAAACATAAGCTGGATATAGAGTGTCATTTTCCTAGCAGGCTTTGTATCATGTTCATATAGTTATCAATTCATTCCAGCCATCTGTATGACTTTAGCGACAAGCCCAACGTCCTTAATTTTGGTTAGTGGCTTCGTAATCACTTAGTAATGGTAATTTTAAATCCTGGAAATACTGAGACATCTGTATTTCCCAATGCAAGCTTCAAGGAGCAGCTGCAGGTCTCCAGAGAATAATGCTTAAAAGCTGATGCTTCCACGTTACTGGCACACAGGCAACCGATGCTATCTCATCAGCAACTTTTCAGAAAAACAAGCTCCAAGAAAGAAAAAAAAAACACACAAACCAGACAAATGAAAACCAGACTTCAGCAAGTTGCACGCAGCTTCCTGAGTAACTGAAGAATGTGCTTCTTGTGGTTAAAACGAGGGAGCTGTTTATTATGGATGAAACACCAGCACTCCAGGCATTTCATTGACATTTCACTGTGACTTGTTGAACTTAGGAGTGCTGACATGAAAACCTATTCTTTGTTGTTGTTCTCAGAGGCCTTCCAGCCGCGCCTGGAAGAGGTAGGGGGACATCCGGTGCAGGCCTGCCCGCCCTCCCTTCTCTGTCTTTGTTCCTGCCTTTTTCTTTCTTTCCTGCCCCCCTTCTTTCTTTGGGGGGGGATCCTGGGCCTTGGACTCAGGGCCTGAGCCCCGTTCCTTAAGTGTTTTTGCTCAAGGTTGGCGCTCTACCACTTGAACCACAGCGCCCACTTCCAGCTTCTTGCTGGGTAATCGGAGGTGAGCCTCCTGTGTGATCTTCTGCCCAGGCCGGCTTCGAACCTCGATCCTTAGGTCTCCTGAGTGGCTAGAATTGCCAAGCCCCCCCCCCACCCCCGTTTCTGTGCTCGGGTGGCTTCTTTGGGCCTCGCTGCTGGCTGCCCTTCCCCGACCCCTTCTCGATCCCGGGCGGTCAGGTCTCCTCCCTTCCCCGAGGGGATCGTCCCGTCCCCGGCCCCCCCCCCCGCCCCCCCCCCCGCCCCACAAGCCAAGGGACATTCGCGCATCCTGGAAACGGGACAGACCCGGGGGGGGGGCGCCCCGGCAGACAAACCCAGAGGGTGCGAGGGGGTCCGGAAGGAGGCCCCCCCGCGCTCGGCCCGGGAGAGGCCCGCTGCCCGCGGCGTTTAAACCGGGCCCCGTCTTCGCCTCGTCCCCATTGGCCGGCCCGGGGCCGCCCTCCCCGCCGCGGCCGCCGCTGATGTCAGCCGGGCGGCGCTCGCGCGGCAGCCGCCGGCTTCTCCCGCGCCCACCATCCCGGCCCCGGAGCCCCGCGCCGGCGCCCGCCCCCCGGCCCGGCCCGGCCCGGCCCGGCCCGGCCCGGCCCGGCGCCCCGCGCTGGGCGGCGGCGAGCGGCCTCGGCGGCTTCCCCTGTGCTCCCGACGCTCGGGGACTCCAGCCTGCAGAAAAACAACGCGCCGCTGCGGGGAATCCGGCGTCCGGGGCCCGGGCGAGGGGGCCGGGCGGGCCCTTTGTCTGGGAAGTCGGCGTCCCCGGCCCCGCCGCGGACGCGGTCCGCGGGATCGAGGGCCGAGGCGGGGGGACCCGCGGGCGAGGAGCCAGGGGGGCGGCCGCCGGCTCGCTCCGCTCCCCGAGGCGCGCGACCGGCGACTCCGTGCGTTTGTTTTCATTTGTGGAATCCTCCCCCTCCCTCCTCCCTCCTCCCCTCCCTCCCCCTCCTCCCTCCCCTCCCTCGCCCGCTACCGGGCATGTCCTGATCTGCGGCCGCGCCTACCGCCGCGGGTCTCCCTCCTTCTCCGCCTGACTTTGCCTCCCGCGCGGCTCCCGGGAGCATCGGCCCCGAGCCGAGGCAGGAGGCGCGCGAGGAGCCTCGAACCCCCGGACTCAGAGCTTGACATGGTGCGGTGCGGGCCGGGGGAAGCGAGGAGCTGAGCGCTGTCGGAGCGCGGTGCGGTGCGGTGCGGCGCGGTGCGGGCCCTCCCCCCCGGACGCCCGCCGCGGGTTCGGGTCCGGCCGCACCATGCTGCTGAAGGAGTACCGGATCTGCATGCCGCTCACCGTGGACGAGGTAGGCGCCGGGCCTCGCCCGCTCCCGGGGCGCCGCGGGGACCGGGCGGGGGGCGGCGGGAAAACCTGGGGTGCGCGCGCGCGCGTGCGGCGCGGGGTCCGGGCCGCCCCAGCCCGGAGCCTCGGGGTCCGCGGCTTCCCGCGGGCGCCGCCGCAGCCCCGCGAGCGTGGGGTGGGGCGCGGACTCCAGGTGGGCTCCCGGGGGGGGGGGCGGGGAGGGCATCGGGCTCAGACGTGGGGGGGAACCACCGTGCACCCGGAGGATCCGAGGCGCCCCCCCCCTCCTCGGGAGGGGGAACGCACCGAGCCGAGCCCAGCGCCCCGGGGCGCGCGCGCAGAAGCCGGGGTGCGGGGTGCCCCGTCCTGGCCCTGGGCCTGGCCTCATCCTGCGCGCCCTCGGTTGGGAGGCCGGCCGGCCGGGAGGCCCGAGCCCCCGTCGGAACCCCGAGGAGTGTGTGTGTGGGGGGGCGGGGGTCCCCCACCTGGCGCGGTCGCCGGTCCTCCGGGCGTCACGCCCGCGCTCCCGGCCCGGCCCACCCGGCTGCGGCCGGTGCCGATCGCCCGGTTCGGAAACTTTCTGCGGGTTCTCGTTGGCTCGGCCGCGGGGAGCCCGGGGCGGCGGCGCGGCCACCGGGGGGCGCCCCAGCACGCAGCGCCGCACCCGGGCCTCGCCGCCGGGACGGGGCGGGGGGGGGGGGCGCGTGGGGACCCCGGGCGCCGCCGCCGCCCTCCGAGCGGCCCCCCACGCCCCCGCGGGGGTGCTCAGACCCGGCGCCCACCCCCCTCCTCTTTGGGTGTGTGTGTGTGTATGGGAGGAGAGGGTTCGATTTTCCGGCTGCTTCGGGTTGGATCTACCCCGGTGCGGCTGGGGGGCGGGCAGCCCACGGAGGCGCGGTGGGGAGGGGCACGCCGGGGCCCACAGACCCGTGACCCGCCCGCTGCTCGGCCGACGGCCGTGGGGGGCTTGGCGGGGTCGAATGCGGGTGTGTGTGTGTGGGGGGGGGGGGTTGGTCATCTCGGCCCAGATCAAAGCGGGTTGGACTTGACGAAACCTGGCCCCGCCTGGTACCGGGGCTGCGGGAGAGAGAAAAGAGAGAGGAGAGGGAGGAGAGGGGGTCCCAGCTGCACCTGCCTCGCCAGCCAGCTTTGGGGTTGGCTGGCATTTGGGGGCCCTGGGATCCTTTCCCTTGGGGGACCGGATCTTCCTAACCCCTCCCTCCCCCCCTCTCTCCCCTGGGACCAGGTCCACCCATGGGGGGGGAGTGTGAGTGTGTGTTGGGGGGGGTCTAGATAAGAGTTTGCAATCTGAAACTGCGTGAAATTTGCCTCCCCCCTAAAAAATATATAATGATAGGAGGAAAAAAGCCAGTTCTAGAATCTTCTGTCAATCACATTTCTTTATTCAGGTTGATTCTTTCCTTGGGCTTTCTTAAATGCTCAGATCTCTCCCTCTCCCCCCCCCTCCCTCTCCCTCCTCCTCCTCTCTCTTCCCCCTCCCCCTCCCTCCTCCTCCTCCTCTCTCCCCCTCCCCCTCCCTCCCTCCTTCTCCTCTCTCCCTCCCTTTCTCCTTCCACCCCCCCTCTTTCTCCTCCACTCCTTCTCCCTGGCCACCCTTCTCTCCCTCCTTCCCTCTCCCCCCAACCCTGAAGTAGCCAGAGAAGTAATTGCATTTGAGTGGTATAGGTGGAGGCCCTTTGTTAATTGAAATCAGTGAAATCACCTTCCACCTGTAGGATGATGTATAATTATAAATTATTTAATTCACTTGGACTAAATAAACATGATTCAGTTTCTGGGAGGTCACATTCTGGTGTTTTCTGCAATGGGGTAAATAGATAAGACGTTTCAAGCTATTCAAATCCACCAGCCGGATGCTTGATGGCTCCTGCCTGTAATCCTAGCTACTCAGGAGACCAGGATCTGTGGATCATGATTCCACACCGGCCCAGGGAAGAAAGTCTGTGATACTCTCATCTTCGGTTAACCTCCAATGAGCGGCAAGTGGAGCAGTGGCTCAAGTGGTATTAGCATTGAGCAAAAAGAGCTCAGGACAGCGCCCAGGCTCATGAGCCCCAGGACCAGAGAGGAGAGGAGAAGGGAAAATTAAAATCCACCAGACCGGATAATAGGCCTAGTGTGCTAGCTCATAGACCCCTAGACTCTGAACTAGTCATGGATGCTCGCCTTCCCCCATCTCCACCCCACCTCTTCTGCCTGAATCCTCCACTCTGAGAAGCCGACTAACTGTCTAGGGAGATGATGCTGACAGGGAGGTTTTGATTCAACTCTGCCTTCACTTTGGACCCGATTCAACCCTCAGGGAGCTTCTGGAACCTGTTTCTATTTAATGGCCACAGTTAATTAGTAGCAGAGTTTTTGCAAATGAAGCAAATTCCAGTGTTTGGGTATAGACAGTGTCCCTGGCCGGATCTACCACCCCCCCCTCCCCGCACTGGAGACTGGCCTTAGGGAGCGTAGTGTCTTACCATCCATACTTTGCTGGTGAGCATTTGGAGGTGCCGAAAGGTTAAGTAACAGGACCCAGGCCTCATGATTAGTGACTGGGCTTGGGGGGAGGGGGTGAGGGGGAGGTGGTGGCTGGTGGAGTCATGATTTGTGTTTCCTGATTCAGCTTTTTGCTGTCAGTCCCTGTTAATCCAGGACAAAGAAAATCCCCTTTGTAGAAAACACGTAAAAGAACTATCAACTACCAGAAGAAATAGAAACCTTGCAATTGTTACAGGGTTCTCCTGTTCCTTTAGTTGTGTTGTATTATTTACTTATTTATTTTTTTCTGTGTGGTACTGGGATTCCTTTAATTGCAAGAATTCAAAGGTCTTTGGATTGCTGCCTTCTGCTATTTCACCCTTGATTGGTTGGTTGATTGGGGGACACTTTGATTTGGACTCAGGGCCTCTGACGTAGTAATCCAGTGCTCTATCATCAAGCTATGTCCCCTACTCCTCTAACATTATTGTCTTGGCGTGGGGATGTGCAACATTGGGCTTAAACTCAGGGCCTCATGCTCTTGCTTAGCTTTTATCCTTTCCTGCTTTAGAATGCTGCTCAACCACTTGAGCCACATCTCTGTTTCTGACTTTTGGGATGTTAATTAGAAGTAAGTCTTGCAGATTTGTCTTCCCCTGGCTGGCTTTGAACCTTGATCCTTACCTGTCTACACCTCCTGAGTGGTTAGGATTACAGGTGTGAGCCACAGGTGCCCAGCATCCTCTGTCTTTATTTATTTATTTATTTATTTTGGGGGGGGGGTTCTGGTCATGGGCCTGAACTCTGGGCCTGGGCGCTGTCCCTCAGCTCTTCAGCTCAAGGCTAGCGCACTACCACTTGAGCCACAGCGCCACTTCCGGCTTTTTTTTCTGCTTATGTGGTGCTGAGGAATTGAACCCAGGGCCTCATGCATGCAAGGCAAGCATTCTACCACTGAGCCCCCTTCCCTGCCCCTCTGTCTTTATTTTTAACCCATAAAGGTTCTGTAGTTCCAGGGAAACTAAAGTAGGTCCTAAAGAAGATAAAGCTGAATTACATCTAGCTAAGAGTGATGGGGATAGGGGTTATTTAAAACATTCATTCCATGGCTAGAGGTGCAGCTTAGTGGTAGAACATTTGTCTTCCATGTTTGAGGCCTTGGGTTCAATTCCTAGCATGGGAACAAATAGCTTTAGAATAAAGAATTATTATTATTTTTATTATTATTATTTTATGTTGGTTGTGGGGCTTGAACTCTGGGCCTGAGCACTGTCCCTCAGCTCTTCAGCTCAAGGCTAGCACTCTACCACTTGAGCTACAGCGCCACTTCTGGTTTTCTGGTGGTTTATTGGAGCTAAGAGTTTCACAGCTTTTCCTGCCCAGGCTGGCTTTGAACCATGATCTTCAGATCTCAGTCTCCTGAGTGCTAGGATGACAGGCATGAGCCACAGGCGCCTGGCTTAAGCCATTTTGTTTTATGGAAGGCTCAGCTCTCAGTCACTTAGTTACTCCTTTTAGTCAAGGAGATGGGGGTCTATGGTGAAGCCAGGACTTTTGCTTCCTGGCACAATGCTGTTTTACTGGAGACCAGAGGGGTCTCCAAGGTCTCCTTTCCTGTGGGTCCTAGCCTGTATGTACAACAGGTTTGCTGGTCAGTTCCCAGCTGAGGAGAGCTTAGGGACTCTGACTTTGTATCTACCTAGGGGACATGTAGGACAGTTGCTGTTGGAATCTATTGGAAGTGTGGCCTCAGAACTCAGGATTAGCTTCATGCAGTGGTACATGCTTATAGTCCCAGCACTCACAAAGCTGACGGAAGAAGATTGTGAGTTGGAGGCTAGCTCCGGCAACATAGTGAGACCCTGTCTCGAGACCAAATGTCTCAACAGATGAGGTAAGATGAGGCAGATCTAAGGCAAGAATCTTTTACTTCAATTGCTTTTTTTTTTTTTTTTTTTGTCGGTCGTGGGGCTTGAACTCTGGGCCTGGGCGCTGTCCCTCAGCTCTTCAGCTCAAGGCGAGCGCTCTACCACTTGAGCTACAGCGCCACTTCCGGTTTTCTGGTGGTTTATTGGAGATAGGAGTCTCACGGTCTCTCCTGCCCGGGCTGGCTTTGAACCATGATCCTCAGATCTCAGCCTCCTGAGTAGCTAGGATTACAGGCTTGAGCCACCAGAGCCCGGCTTACTTCAATTGCTTTTAAAGAAAGCTCCATCCCACGTGTAAACAGTTCCTCCTCTGACTGCAGTAACAAGAATGTGTGTACTTTCAGGGGGTTATTGAGGTCTCTGTGGACTTGGTACACAAGGAAGAAAAATAGAAACACTGGCCTCTGCCTTTAAGAAGAAAGTGAAAGGCAAAAAAGCAAAAAACAAAACTCCCCCCCCCCCCCCCCCAGAATAGTACTTTGTTCTTTCCCCTGGCAGAGAGCCCCGAGTACTTTATCTGGGCCCTTTTGGATCACCTGGAGAGTTGCATTTTATTTTGGCCAGTGCTGGGGCTTGAACTCAGGAC